TAGTGGTTTTAGAGAACAAAGAAGGGTAGCGTTCCTGGGCATCAAATAAATCCAGATTGACCCAGCAATATGCCATGCATGTCAAGAACAAAGTATCAGTAGCCTTTTCGAAGTCATAAAATTGTGTTTCACACTCTGCCAAATGTGCACAGTATGTATGTGACTGCAGGTTAGATAATTCATGTCCACATTGATTGACAGAGATGTGAGATCCTACAATAGGATAAAAGTCTTGCCCACATACACAGGCAGGAAGGCCTGGTTAGAGAGGTGTGTGTGTGTGTGTGTGTGTGTGTGTGTGTGTGTGTGTGTGTAAAAGGCTTGGATTGCTAGATGGACAGTTGCACAGTTTTGGTCAGCCACCAAGTTCAAGGAAGCCCTGATGGGTTCTGCTTTTCCCGGTCAGGCGTGGGTTGTTGAAGGTCTGCAGACTCTATAAAATTACACTCCCACTTTCCGCCAGTGTGCCTCCGAGTGTGAGCAAGCATGAAGGTCTTCAAGCAGGAGGTGAAACAATTAAGGTCCAAGGAAACAAGTTGCCAAAGGATGCAGACAACATGATAGCATCATGGACTAGATAAACACAAAGAAGTATGTCAGCCTCGGAGCAGGTAATGGTGGAGATTATTGGGTCTATCAGAATAAATGCTATTTCATTTGGAGAGTACCTCAGACTAGAGAGACACTCAGCAAGTAAGTCACTTGCCACAGCGTGAGGACTGGAGTTCAGATACCCAGGACCACACAAAAGGCCAGGTAGGTGTGTCAGCTCTCCTATAATCCCAGCTTTTGGGAAGTTCAGTGACAGGGGGAATCTTGGGGCAAGTTGGCTAGGTAGGTTAGTCAAATCTGTGAGCCTTGGGCCCAGCGAGAAACTGCCTAAGTGAAGACAGTGGAGGGCAATTAAGATGCCTACCTGATGTCAATCTTCGGGCTCCACATGCAGCCACACATATGCAGAGGTACATCTGAACATGCAGGTGCACGCGTGAGAATGAACACATGCACACACAGATGCACACATATGAACATGAAACCACATGTGTGCACACACACTACAGACACGTACATACCCAAATATACAAAGAAAAATATCTCATTGGGGGGTGTACCTCAGTGGTAAAGCAAAGGTTTAACACATGAGACCCTGGATTCAACCTCTTACCTGCCCCCCAAATGGTATTCTTGATAAAAATAAAAGGTTTAAAATATCTGAAGCAAAAAATATGAAATTATCAGTATCTGATAAATGTATATGGTAGGTTACGTGGGCAGGTTTTTTATCTTCTCTGCCTTTACTCTGCATCTGAATATCCATATAATATTCCATAAACATCTGAAATAACTAACATATTTTACACATGGAGACATGGCTAACTAGGTTTAGTTTTAGCTTCTTCCAAGCGGATTTGTATAGTGCATATTACAAAGATGATATTGCTTTTAGTGTATGTTGTAAAATTGATATATCCCATAAAATAAATTTTAGAAAAGAAGAAAAAACAAACCACTCAAGACCAGTCACCCCAAAACAGCCATCAGTAACATATTTGCCTGTTTCCTCCCGCATTGCACAGAATCTGCTGCTTCACTCACTGAGTATTGCTCCATTACTGCTCAGCCTCTCTGCTGCTAGGGCTTTGTTTATTCGACCATAGCCATGTGGGAAGAGGGATCCGACTGAGAAAATGCCCCCACCCAGACTGGTCTGTGAGAGGCCCATCCCACTGTGGGTGGTGCCACCTCTGGGCTGGTGGTCTTGGGGTGTACTAGAAACGGGCTGAGTAAACTGAGCAGCAAGGCATGGCCTCGGCATCAGCTCTGCCTTGAGTTGCTGCCCAGGCTTCCTTGATGGTGGAGCTGTGTGGAACTCTTTCCTCCCCAGGGTGCTTTTTTGTGCGTGGTGTTTCATCCTAACAGTAGAAGCCCTAAGACAGCATCCATGAGCATCATCTTACTGCCTTTGGCTAAGTACCGTCCACAGCTCACCTAAGCAACACTTTCTGTGTAAGTAGTTATGACATGTGACAGGCCCACAGCCAAGTATCCTTCCACACATCCTTCTGGAAGCATCAGGAGCAGGACAGTGCGTTGCTCCAGTGATGTCTCTGCAAGGCCTTCAAGAAGGGGACGATACAAAGATCTGTCACATCTGTGATGCCATCCTGTTCTTATGATGGAGCCTGAGGCATTCATCCTGAGCATCAGAACTGTGCCTGTTTGAAAGGCTAGCCGTGTGTGTGTGTGTGTGTGTGTGTGTGTGTGTGTGTGTGTTGCCTGTGAGAGAATGTACACCTCCCAGTGTCAGGTAAGCCCTGAGCCTGCACTGTGAACTCTGGTTTGGAGGCTGTAGGAGGCCTGCAGGAGCAGTGGTGGTGATAGTGACATTACCAGCACACCCTTCCAAGCCTCCCATAGCTGCTGCCCTGCAGGTGAGTGGCTTGTGGGGGTGTAGAGGGGGCTCAGAGCTGCTCCAGGTAACAGCCAGTAGGTGTGGGAGGAAGCGGGGGGGGGGGGGAGCGTGTCAATACCACCGCTCTGCATATTTCCAGACCTCTTCAGTTCCTATCGTTAGACTCCAGAGGAGGCTGCTTGCGGCCTTGGGCAACTTGTATGCCTTTCCCACAGAACTCAGAGGCTGTGTCTGCCTAGAGCCCCTTAATCCATAGCCACACCACTGTTGGCCCCTGGAATTCCCTGACTAAAGGCCAGGACCCCCTTCCAACATCCACACAAGCCTAACCTCTCTTCTTGGGGCTCAGAACACAACTGTGTGCACACTAGGTCCAAGGATGGCGTTTTACAGCAACGGACAGAGTTTAGACCTGTGTGCTCAGCACGTATCCAGGATGGAAGCTGTTGAGAAGGGTGGATCCCCGGGGAAGTCAATTTCTCTGCATTGTAGCTCAGTTTCAGAGGCCCTTGTAAGATCGTATTTGGCATGGTGGGAGGATAACGGTTTATCAGCCTGATCTGTACTGTCGCGTGCTTGAAGACTTGCGAAGGACTCGCTTTTCCACCCTTGCCTCGGGAGTTCTAATTCCTTTATCACTGTGTCCCCCCCCCCAGTCCCTTTTTCCCCCATCCCTGGCTGCTGCTGTGTGGAAGGGGCACAAAGGACAGCACCAGAGAATCAAAGAAGAACAAACAATTTAGGGTATACAACGCTGGTATACCAGATTCTCCCACGTGCACGTGGACAGGCAAGAACTGCAGGGCAGGCCAAAACAGAGAGCATCCACCCGCTGTGAGCATGAATCAGCCTGGCGGATCCAGCAGAACGGGAACAGAAGTTAGCTTGTAGTAAACTACAATCTGTGCCCCACCCCCTCCTCCCCCACTTCCCCCCACCTCTGTTCCACCGTGTAGTAGTACAGGGAACTACCGCCCTCTGTTGACTACTTTGAGCAATGCAGGAAGTCAGACACCGAGGCCTTGAGATTTTGCCTTGTTGTTCAGTTGCTAGACTCCTTTCTCTTGGTGCCTTAGTCCTCCCCAGCCGTGTCTCCTGCTTGTGGTCAGGGGATTTGACTTTTATAGAGAAGGCAGCGTCTTCAGGCTTTTAACCCCTCTGGAAAAGAATATAGTAAAGATAATTAAACACACCCATCAAGATGGCACTTTACCATTCCAGAAGTGATTTTGGACTTTCTCTTCCAATTGCCCAACCGGGAAGCTAGACCCATGTGTGAAGAACCCTCTCTTTGCTATGTTAATCATAACAACAGGGTTTGGGAACAGCACATTTACTCAAAGCTTCCTTTGGGTAATGTCAGCTTTGGAAGCTCAGAAAAGTCACATGCTCGAAAAGTTTTCTTTTTTGAGTAATGGGGGAATTTATTATGGACTTAGTCATTTTTCCTGGAGGGTTTGACTTGTGATTGTGAGCGAAGCTCCTAAGTTTTCTTTAGGGGCTGACAAGATGTCTCAATGATCAAAGTGTTTCCCTCACAAGTGTGAGGACTAGAATTCGGATTCCCAGAACCCAGCCTCAAAGGTGGAGTCAGGAGACACCATAGCAAACCTGCTAGCCAGATTGGTTTTCCCAGCAAGCTCGGGGTTTGAGACACCTTGTTTAGTGGATAAGATGGAAAAGCAATAGAGAATGATTCTCAGCATTCACATTGAGTCTCCACACACATGTACACCCCATACACACACTGTGCCCACATACATCCAAAGATGCATACACATGCACAAGAAATGGAAAAAAATCTTTTATAATTAGTAGCTTGTGGAGCCTGTGAATTGGGTCATTTTTCACTAGTAAATAGTAAATTAGACATGCATCTAAAAGTGCTCTGTCCCAGACAAGACAGGTAGAAATGAAGCGAATAGGCAGATCTCTGTGAGTTTGGGGCTAGCCTGGCCTACAGATTCCCATTTCAAGACAGCCAGGGCTACACAGAGAAACCGTCTTGAAAAACAAAAATTAAAAAAAAAAAAAGAAAGAAAAGAAATGAAGCTGAGATGCTAGGGGAGAGGGAAATGAGGATGAAGGGATGGATACTGAAGATGCAGTTGAATCTTTAAGTAAAACTGCCTCATAAGAAGCGACAAAATAAAACAATATCTTTAAAATACCATATTACATGAACCCTCGATTTTACTTCACACCATAACATATGTACATATACTCGGGCCTTTGATTGTGTTGTCTGTGTATTGAAGTCAGCCAGAAGTCACTTGGAGGGAGACCCTGCTGGGCAGGTAGGATCTAGCCTTGTGACATGCTAAGTGCTTTTTCCAAAGGTCTGAGCCAGAACTCTGCATGAGGAAGAAGCAGCTTTGTTTGCTAAACCCACAGTTCTAAGGAACATCATCCACCATGCCTCTCTTAACCACCCCTTAAGGCCTCCCCAGCCTTGCTGTGTCTGATCTTCACCATCCCCGTGGTTGTTCCGAATGCACCCTGAGCCCTGAGCACCGTGTCTCTCCTTGATAGTGGCGTGAGTGCAGGCAGAGCAGTGACAAGACGACCTTTCCCCTTGTTCCTTCAGGCGGCGCTCGTTGGAGGCACCACCATGATCATCGGCCATGTCCTTCCTGACAAGGAGACCTCCCTCGTGGAAGCCTATGAGAAGTGCAGGGGTCTCGCTGACCCCAAGGTCTGCTGTGACTATGCCCTCCATGTGGGTATCACCTGGTGGGCACCCAAGGTAACAGTGCTGATGGAACCCCACAAAGGAGGTACTAGTGGTCTGGTTCACAGAGCGGGGTGTAACTGAGCTGGCTGGGGCCTGATGCTCTTCTGGGTGTGTGAACAGTGCCCCCACCACCACTCCCCAATGTGCCAGACACAACATTTAGGAACCCATAAAGATGGGGAGGGGGGAAGGGGACTGTCCTGCCGAACTTAAAGAACCCATTTTCCTGCCTTCACAGCGAGCATCACACTGCAACAGAGTCCAAGGCCATGCTCCAAACTCGGGAGCATTGGCTCCTCGCAGTGACTGCTGGGGCTCAGTATGTTCAGATGTGTGCACGCTGTCTCATGAACATCCAATGGGGAGGAATGCCTAATGGTCGGCTCAGGCACTGAGAGCCAGTGGTCGACTCAGGCACTGAGAGCCAGTGGTCGCCTCAGGCACTGAGAGCCAGTGGTCGGCTCAGGCACTGAGAGCCAGTGGTTGGCTCAGGCACTGAGAGCCATGTCCTGTGTGCACTGACTGGAGCTTACAGCGCGCTGAACCGAGGCCTCTGAGACAGAATTAGTCTTGACCATTCTCAGCACTTTCTGGTCCATCTCTTCACCGGGCCAGTGCCTGCTGGTCTTCCTTGGCACTGACTTTCTGTTTTGCTTCCCAGGTGAAAGCAGAAATGGAGACACTAGTGAGGGAGAAGGGGGTCAACTCCTTCCAGATGTTCATGACCTACAAGGACCTGTACATGCTTCGAGACAGTGAGCTCTACCAAGTGTTTCATGCCTGCAGGGACTTTGGGGCGATCCCCCGAGTTCACGCTGAAAACGGGGAGCTCGTGGCTGAGGCAAGTCAGCAGTAGAGGTTATTGGGTGGGGGTGGGGCCAGTGGGCGCAGTGTTCAGGGGCACCCTGATCATTTGTCACTGTCCTTCAGGGTTCAGTAAATCTAGTAGTTAAATGATGTGAGATGTGGACATCTGCGGTGCCAAATCTTGGTCTGAAATTCAAACTTTAAACATACATATATGTGAAGTTATATATGTTAAAATATATACTAAAATATCTCTTTATGGTCCACGAGGTTTCCTAAGTCTTGGGTAATAATTTAGTGTGGATGTTATGATATTTAAATTCCACTATAGCAAAATAATTTAGAACATCTCTTGGGAACATTTTTTGAGGTACAACGTGCAAAAATAAACAGCAACATTCCATTTTCCTAAACCTGTCCATCAAAACTGTTACATCATAGAAGTCTGTTCTCTGGTTCTCCTAAGTCTTGGGATGAAGCTGATCTTGAAGTCGCTGATACCAGAGACATGTGTTGAGATTTCCAGAGACAGCTCGAACTTTTAAACCAACTAATGGTGTTTGTCTTTGGTACCCCACAGCTGTTGCTTAGCAACTGGGCTGTATTTTTAAGAATAGAAGGTATTGTCTAGTCATTAAGAAGTGAGAAGGGAATCAGGAGGAGTTTACTGCCTGAGGCCCCTGGATTTATTCTTTGGAAAATGTGCATTAGGGAAGGAAGACATGCCTGACATACTCTACGGTCTCTGGGGGTTTGGTAATTTCTTGTATCTCTGTAATTCAGTTATCTTTCTTGTGCTATTATTCAGGGTGCTAAGGAGGCTCTAGATTTGGGTATCACAGGCCCAGAAGGAATCGAGATCAGTCGTCCAGAGGAGGTAGGAGAAAGTTCCTGTGTCTATGGTCACTTTTTTTTTCATGTAGACTTTCTGTATTCATTAGCTTTCTATCACTGAAGATAAGCCTGAGAGAAAACTATTATTGTTATTATTATCATTTTATTTATTTATTTTGCACACACTCATGGTTTCAAAGAATCCAGTGGATGTTTCCACTTGATCAGAATGTCACGGTGACAGGGACGTGTGGCAAAGGAGAGCTATTCCCTTGATGATCAACCAGGAAGCGGCCAGGGAACTACCAGGGAAGACCCATCCCTATGACCTCTGTCCTCCAGCTCAGCCTCACCTCATGTTTCTAGAAACACCACCACTATCTAGGGACCAAGAATTCGTGTCAGGAGACCATGGGAAACCGTCACACTCATGCAGTCTTTTGGAGAAATGCCAAAAATACGTTATATAGCAAGTTTGGAACCAGCTTGGGCTACATGAGACCCTCTATCAGAATAAAGGAAAATAAAATTATATCATTTGCATAGGGGAAATATGTGTTACACCATTTTCCCCCATAGATGAAATTCCCATCTCGAAGCTTCCCAAGGAAAACCAATGTTGAGGCTGCCTTGACCTTCCTTTGGAAAGAGGATAAACCCCTATCATGCGCCATTTAATTCTCATCTTGTGGCTTTGGGGAGATCATTTCAGGGTCACTTTCTTCAGAACTGAGTGCCATGACAAAAGGGACAGAGCCTTCGTGCATTAGGAGAAAATTAAGGTCCAGGCTCTGCGTTCAGGAGATTCACTTCTGACTGAGGAAGACTTGGAGCCTTCCCACCAGAAACAAAGCTCGTGCCCGTCCATGGTCCCTCAGACTCTCCGCTTCTCACCAGGGTGGGAAGGAAAGGCACTGTGTGCACTCATTGGGAGTTGACTTGGATGGCCAGTGTCTGCTGCTGAGAGATCCTGCTCTAGCTGCTGGAACCACGGTTGATAATGCCTGCTTGTGCTTGTACCGTGTTCCGACAGACTCACCCTTTGAAGCAGAAAACTACCTCTTTCTTCTTCAAAGCCCAAAACTCAGAGTTATGGGAGGGTCATGTGGGATCTGTATTCCCAGCTCCAACAAGGTTGAAGCAGAAAGGGCTCAGGTTCCAGGCGGACCTGGGCTACATAGCGAGAGCCTATCCCAATCAATCAACCAATCAGTCATAGCGGGGTAGTAGTTGAAGCTCCAGGAGACCCGATGTGTGATCCTACTATCACTCAAGAGCCAACGTGGCGTACCTTATTCCTGCCTTTATCCTGTGCCTGTTGGCCACCGGTTTAAATGTAGGTCCTGCTTGGGCACCTCAGTATCCTTAGAGAAATAGGCACCAGGGCTGGGAATGCAGCTCATTTGGTAGATGTTTGCCTGCCATGCGTGAAGTCCTGGTACTTACCCAACACCACATGTAACACCTACAATTGAGAGGTGAAGTCAGGAGGATCAAAAAGTTCAAGGTCATTTTCTGTTATGTTGTGAACGTGAGGCAGGCCTGGACTCCAGGAGAATTGGAGCACTTGATTTATGGGGTGGATCTGGGATAAGGTTGGCGAGGGGCCAGCTCAGACTCAGGCTTGAGCTGCCTGTGCCGGGCAACAAGAGGAAGAGCAAGGTTGTAGTGATGACAACGCCTGCTACTGTCAGCATCTACTGCTCAAAAGGGACGGGCCTGAAAAACAAAAATAAAAGGGATCGACCTGGGTCTGTGCCGGGGCAGACTGGCCATCCAGAAAACATCTGGCGGTATCTAGATGGACCTGGGTCTGTGCTGGGGCAGACTGGCCATCCAGAAAACATCTGGCGGTATCTAGATGGACCTGGGTCTGGGCCAAGGTAGAATGGCCATCCAGAAAACATCTGGCAGTATCTAGATGGACCTGGGTCTGTGCCGGGGCAGACTGGCCATCCAGAAAACATCTGGCTGTTATCACTTTGTGTATGGGGGGAAGGGTGCCGCAGTACATTTGTGGCCGTTAGAGGCCAACTCTGTTGGTCCCAAGCAACCATTTCATGTCACCTGGCTTGCCCAGCAAGTACCTTTCTAAGCCCTGAGTGGCATCCACCAGGGTGCACCTGGTATCCTAAATCCTGGGACTCTCTTTCCGTGGAAGTGCTAGTGGTTGGGGTCTGGTGCTCCTGCCAGAGTGTTGCCCCTATCCACAGCCAGTCCCTGTGGATGCAGCCAGCCCCTCTGCTGTGTCAGCTGCTCCAGCACTCTCCCTGCAGAGAGCTCTCAGGCAGGTGCAGCTGGTTGGAAGGAGGTGGTGAAGGTCGGTTCCTTATTGTCCCTTGTTGTTAACAGCTGGAAGCTGAAGCCACTCACCGTGTCATCACCATTGCAAACAGGGTAAGTAGCCCCCATCCTCCACACTGGAGGCCAATGCCACAAGCGGCTCTCAGGACCGCAGCTAAATAAATGGACATTAGTCTCCAAGTTCTGGTGTGCATCCTGCCCGCCCCAGCGCTCCGCTCCACCCCTTTGAGCTGATGAAGGGCTGAAGCTGCGGAAGCTGAGATTCGTTGCTCAAATATAAATGGCTTAGGCAGTTATCATTTAACCCTGTGCTGCTGGGACCTCTGTTTTCCCCGCTGCTTTCCCGGGTTCGGTTCAGGAAAAGCCCTTAACAAAGCACTGGTGGAGCGTGGCGGGAACCAGCTAGAGATTGCGCCAGAATCCAGAACCTTGCTCTTAACTATTAAATACGTGCTTTCAACCACATGCCCGTCATGCCCCCTCTGATCTCCTCCCTCATTATCTGAAATCGGGATGATGATGATGGCATCACTTGCTCTGGAGAGTTCTTTGTGCCTGGGAAGGACTATCCTTTCCTGCAGGATGTCACTGAAGGGTTTGATTTGCTCAGATAATCTGAGCCACTGGCTCTAGAAGGTTAGATTTCCAGTGGTGCGGTTCCTGGATGGCAAAGTCAGCACTATGGGTCCGAATTACAGACTCAGATAAACAGGCTCTCGGGCTCCAGAGAGACCCAGCCAATCAGAAACTGGGATAGTGCCCAGCATGCTGTGTTGAAAGTTTGTCTTCCCCCAACCCCATGATTCTAATGAGGGCTCCTGCTTGGGACCTTCCCCTCTGGCCAGGGCTACCCAGAAGGATGTAAACGCTCAAGTGTGGTCTTAGGATTGTAGGGGACAGGGAGGCTGCATATCACCAGCCCTAGGATTGATCAGCTCACACCAGGTATCTCAAAACCCCTGTCTCCTAACTTGATAACCAGTAAAGACACAGAATGTCATCTTGGAAGGTTTCCTGTTAGCTCCTGGACCTTGTTCTGTTGCCATGACAGCAGCTATCTTACCAAATACTTCCTGATGGACACCCAGCCCACAATAAGGAAGGGTCTGACCAACCATCAGTCCCTTGGTTCTTAGCGCAAGCATGCCCAAAGAAATTAGGCTGTGGGCTATGCTTGCACAGTTCTGTAGAATAGCTGATGCATATGACAGCCCAGATGTTTACAAGACCAGTTATGTCCAGCCCAGACTCTGAGCCTGGTTTTTCTCCCGAGTACATTCTGTCCGTCGATAAAGCAACCTTCAGACTGCCGGCATCGGAATGTCAGGTTTAGGTTATGACTGTTTCTGGGTCCTCACGTTTGTGAACCGAAAAAATGAAGCAGGAAAAAAAAACATGAGATCAGAGAAAATCTGAGGTTTAGACTCATCCTCTGCTACCTGAGGTCACCCTCCGGGTTGGTGGTCCCCGATGCTGGCCTCCATCTGCAGCCTCTTGTGTACTCAGCTCACCAGCCCTGCATCCCGAGCGTAAACTACCATCTAGTCACGAGTAACGAGTGACACACAGGGATGCGTGTCGGTGCAGGACTGAGAGAAGGGTGGTCTGGGGGTGTGGCAGCTTTACAGGAGCAGGTAATGCTACTTCCTGCTGTCTCTTGCCTTTAGACTCACTGTCCCATCTACCTGGTCAATGTGTCCAGCATCTCGGCTGGTGATGTGATTGCGGCTGCTAAGATGCAAGGTGAGTCTTTGTACCTCGTGCCGTGGGATCAGAGGACAGGGTTCCTCAGCTCAGATTCTGCCAGGCTTGGCTGCTGAGACCAGGCTTAGCCTGCCCTACCCATTTCTTCATGATTGTCTGCCTCAGAGTGCCCCAAGCTAGCCTGGGCTCAGTACATGAGAACTTTCTCCTCTCGCATGTTTACCCAGCAGCTTTTCCAGAAATGTCTGTTACCTGGACCCAGTCAAGTAAAATTAAAGTCTTAAACTGAGTCATTAATTGATGTCTTTTTGGTCTGGTATATTGAATTAACAGTTACCTTGGCAACTAATAAAATGCTAGACCAATGCCAGTGGGCATGTCGGGAGTGGGGCCATGGTGGACGTCACTGGTAAAATAACAGTGCATGGGCCCAACTTCCCCTTCTCTCTCCCTTGAGCCCTGTGTCTGACCCTCGAGGGGCCTTCGTGTGGCTCCCAGTGCAGCCCCCTTGGTAGTACTGAAGCTGTGGCCTGGGGCACTTGTAAGGGGTCCTAGTAACAGAAGAAACGAAGCTAAGCTAGAACCCTGTGAGTCTAAGCCAGAGGCGTGGGTGCCACAGCCTTCATTGTGATCTCTGGACCCCCACACTCTGCCTGTTCTTCAGCTGAGGGCCCCTGAGGGATTCCGGCTGGACTGTTGGCCCAGCCTGCTAGATGGACCCCTCCCTCTTCTGACTTCCTGACTTCTGGGTCTGCTGTGGATTCCACCCCAGCTGCTCCCAGAGCTGTCACATCCCCTGCCTGCCCAGAGAACAGCCTGGACTGCCCACTAGGCCTGGCAGTACATGCATGCCCCACTATCCCCCTGCCTCACTCCCCCACAGCTATGTGTACACAGCCAGGCCATACTAGACTTCTCAAAATCTCTATGCTTTCAGCCTCGGGATCCAGTCTCTGGGCCTGAGCAAACGGGGGCGAGCCTTTTCCTGTTTGCTGTCAGTAGTGCGATGTGCTGTCCAACCACCTCGTGATGCTTTCCACTCTCCTTCCAGGGAAAGTGGTGCTGGCTGAGACCACCAACGCACATGCCACACTCACAGGCTTGCACTACTACCACCAGGACTGGTCCCATGCGGCTGCCTACGTCACAGTGCCTCCTCTGAGACTGGACACCAACACCTCTACCTACCTCATGAGCCTGCTGGCCAAGTAAGGCATTGGAGCCAACAGCACTCCACACAGGGGGCTATAGGTCTTTAAGGTGATGTCCTCCAACACTAGAAACCAAACATGGCCTGGATTTGGTTCCATAGGGCCCTCGGGGTGGTTTTGCTTGAACCTCTTCCTCCAGAGCCCAGCTGTCCCCTGCTATCCTGTTGAGCATCTCTGACAACTTCATTTGGAGTGAGAGCATTGACCAGCATTTTAGATGCCATTGAAACCTCATTCTGAAGCCCAGGGGGGAGCTGGGACATAGGACCTCTTCATATGTATGGTCCTCTCTTCCTGACTGCATTAGTTACTGAGGGAGCAACTTGTAAGAGAAGAAGGCTTATTTTAACTCTTTCCCAGAGCTAGGTCCTCTATGAAAGCTTCAGAGCAGGCTGCGGGGACTCCACACCTAAGTGGATCGAGAGACAGAGCAGAGAAATGCAGATAGCTACCTGGATTTCTTTCCTTTTACTCAGCCCAGACCCTCAGCCCTTGGGATGGTACAGCCTGTGTTCTTCCTTCCTCAGTTAGTCCTTTCTAGAAAAGCCCTCGTCTGCACACTCAAAGGCGTACCTCCCTATCACCCTGGCAGCTCTTAATTCAGTCCAGTTGGCGTGGAAATAAGCCATACTTACCTTTACCTCTCCCTGTTGTTGCCTCAGTTTCTCTCCTATGTGTTCCTTCCCACCTCTCTCCACCCCTGGTACACCCTCTACCAACCTCTATTCTCAATCCCCTCCCTATCTAATGCTCAACCCCAACCTGAAGAAAACAGTCCAAGGAACATTCTGGACTTGGCAAGGCACAATCATGAAAATGTTGGTTTTGTTTCCGGGACAGCTTCTTTGTCCTCTGCTAGTGACATTCCGGGAAGAGACAGTACCTTCTCTTACCTTTGGCTATTAAAGTTCTGTCTAGTTTATAGTCGGCTCCTTGACCAACTCCCCTAGCTCTCTCTGTTCATACTGGAGCGGATAAAGGAGGAAGAAAGATGGGACTGTCTTCTCCATGCCCAGACATGGTTTTTAGTCACCTTCCAGCACCAGCAAGGGCCCTCATGAGGTCACTTACCTCAGGCCACTTTCTACAGTACATGGGGCTTAACTATCCCTTTGGTGCGAGAGCGGGCTAGACCACCCATGTCTCACCCAGAGCTTGGCTGTAGGCTAACCTAATAGGTCAGTGTACCAAAGAACCTCTCAGCCCCTGGAAGAGAAGTTTGGGTTTCTGGAGAGGGCAAGAGGCACACATAACTGAACTATACTGGTCAAGGTGTGGTCTTGTCCATCGCTGACCCGTCTTAGTGTAGCTCCAATCTCTCTTTAAAGATAGTCTGGCAGGTTGTCAGATCTGGGTGAAATCTCTTTGCAGAGACAAGTTTTTCCGCTTCCTCACCAAGCTTCCGTCTCTTCTCTCAACATGAAGGTTTTTGTTGAAACTCTGCTTTCCTGGGGTCATTGTTCAAGAGTCTGACAGCCAAGTGGAGGTGCCCAAGTGACCCAGTAAATAAAGTGGGGAGCCACTGGAGAAGGCACCTGGTGGCAACTTTGGGGCTCTGAATGCATGCACAGATGGTGCACCCACATACACACAAATATGCACAACACTCATATATACGTATTAAAAAACACTATAATAAAGACTTGGTTCAACGTCAGAGCGTCCTTTGAAATGTTCCACTTGCTATAAGCAAATTTGCCAAAGGAACAAAAGCACAGTAAACGTCCAATCCGTCCATACTCAAATAGACAGGAAAAGGAAGCATTGGTCATTGAATAATTTTTCATAAAGCCTGTTTTCCATTTACTTTAATTATTTAAATTCTCATGTAAGAATTATGATTTCATATGGTAGAGAAATAGTTCTAGTTCCTTTTTAATCAGTGCACATTGTAAATGTGTGCTATTTTATAGGATTCAGGGCAAAATTTTAACTATTTGTAAGAATTTATGATTACTATAATTTTCTCCTATAACATGTTACTGGTATAGCTCATGCAGTGCAGAATGCTGGCTGGAAACCCAGGTGTCAGTTCCCTTTTTCAAGTCTGGTTTCCTGAGCAAGTGAGATACCTCAGCCGGTGAAAGACCATTGCCACCAAACCTGACAACTTGAGTTTAATCCCCAGAACCCATGTGTTAGAAGGAAAATTGTCCTTTGTTCTCCATGCTCATGCAGTGGTAAGCATGTGTGCATGTATGTGTGTGCGTGTGTGCGTGAACACACACACACACAAATAAATAGGTAAGTAAGAAATAAATAAACTATAATTTTACCATCATTCATTCACACTTGCTGAGTGGTACCTGCTTCTGAAGAAGATAGGTGCTCATTTAAAGGTGGAAGTTGAGCCTGAGTTTCAGGGTTTCTGACCTGTAATGTGTTATTCTGTGTTGGTCTCTCCCCTGGTCTAAGCCTCATCTGGATATCTGGGGGGTCTCTGAGAAGAGAGTAAACCCTGAGACATCCTCATTTCCCATGGCTTCTGTAGGTGCAGAAGGTGTGGGGAGGCCGGGCTGTGGTGGCGCACGCCTTTAATCCCAGCACTTGGGAGGCAGAGGCAGGCGGATCTCTGTGAGTTCGAGACCAGCCTGGTCTACAAGAGCTAGTTCCAGGACAGGCTCCAAAAACCACAGAGAAACCCTGTCTCGAAAAAGCAAAAAAAAAAAAAAAAAAAAAAAAAAAAAAAAAAAAAAAAAAAAAAAAAAAAAAAAAAAAAAAAAAAAAAAAAAAAAAAAAAAAAAAAAAAAAAAAGGTGTGGGGTGTGGGGAGCCTCGGGGGCCTAGAACACTCCTGCTCTCCGGAAGTCTCTTCCTGTCTCTGGAACCCTGACTGAGGTCAGCCCTCTTACCAAAGAGCCTAGTCATCTTGCTGTGGACTTGCCAGGAACATTAGTCTTTGGCAAGAGCCTTAACTGATGAGCCTGAGAGCTCCCGGGAGAGACAGCCCTCCATGTAGCCTGACTGGCGACTGTCCGGTAGCCTCAAAATCTGCCCCCATACCCATCACACCCTGTTCTGAGTCCAGAGCCCCTTCAGAGTGGGTGTCCCCTGTAGCTCATGTACTTACCTACAAAGACTGTGAGAGCCTTGGGGTCTCTACTGGGCACTCCCAGCAATGTCCCTGGTTCCGCATGATCTCCTTGCTGCAGTCAGGTCCTTCCTAGGGTTGCTTTGCCTTAGTGGCAGAAGCATTTTCATAGCTGAGGCTTCTAGTCTAGAAATCTCCCTCTTTGGCAGACAGCATGCTGCAGCACGCCTCCCTCACATCCCTTCCCAGTTCTGTATCTGCCTGAGGTCCTGGTTGAGCCTTAGGTACTCATAGCCCTCACCGTGTGAAGACTTTGCCGTGAATGACATTGGTGACAACGTCTTCCGCTTCTAGATGGTGGCTTGTTAAGTCTTGGCACCCTTTCTCCTGAATGCTTTGACTCCCAGTCACTTAGCAAGGTTAGCACTGAACTTGGAAAAGCTTTGTCAAACACCTGTTGTGTGTGTCTTGCCGGGACAGTGTGAGGCAGGCAAGCTGGTGGGAACAAGCTGGCACGTGAGTCCTGGACATGAAGCCCACCTCTGCCATCTCACCCCCAGCTAAGCCCTAAATGGTGGGCAAGTTGTTCTCCACCTGCTATTTTACCAGTCACCAACCAAAGGGTTGGAGTCTCCTGGAACATGCCCTGTGCATATGCCAATTCTGTGGATAGATAAACTGTTCATTTAAAGGAAAGAAACAAACCGTTAGAGGTCACCCAGCAAGTAAGCAGCAGGGTCAGGTTGGAAATGCATTTTCTGGGTTCCCAAGCCCAGGCTTTCCCCCTCAGCTTGTTCCCCACCCACTGGGAGATCGGCCTCCTGTCCCCTCACTTGTCACTTCTCCCTCTCTCCAGCGACACTCTGAACATTGTGGCATCAGATCACCGGCCATTCACCACGAAGCAGAAAGCCATGGGCAAGGAAGACTTCACCAAGATCCCACATGGTGTGAGCGGCGTGCAGGATCGAATGAGCGTGATCTGGGAAAGGGGCGTGGTAGGTGTGATCTGGGAAAGGGGCGTGGTAGGTGTCTGCAGCCTTGCCCACACTGAAGATCCCAGCGAAGCCCACTCATCAGGGTGTGTTAGTCAGGGTCCTCTAGAGGAACGGGACTGATAGAGGCTGGATGTCTCAGCTGGTCCCTGGTGTATGTTGGAATCCCAGCAAAGCAGGCTCTAATATCAGTGAAGGAATGTCTCAGCAGCAGTGTGTATGAACTTGCCAGCAAGAGTGAGGACGAGCAGGCAAAGAGAAAAAAGCTCCCTTCTTCCATGTCCGTGTGTGTGTGTGTGTGTGTGTGTGTGTGTGTGTGTGTGTGTGTGTGTGTGTGTTTGCTTTTAGAAAGTGTGGTCCAGATTTAGGGGTGGGCCTTCTAACCTCAAATGATCCAATCAAGAATAATCCCTCACAGTCGTGCCTAGCTGCCTGAGTTTCAGCTAATTCCAGTTAAGCTGACCACCAAGAATAGCCTTCGCAGGAGAGCTGTGGTACCCAGTAGCAAGGCAAGAGGTTGGTAGTATCCGTAGATGGCGGAGGTCAGGCTTAGCTAGCATAGCATCAGCTCACACATGCGAGGGGCGGAAAGGCTCGCCCCATTACATCAGAAAGTGATAGGTCCTGTTAACAAAACGTGACAGTTTAGAAGACTATGGGGGAAATCCATGCAGTTGGAACTTTAGCATTTACTTCTTCCTACTTCGGCACATGTACTGGATTTTTCCTGTTGGTTTCTGAGGCAGGATCTCACTGTGTAGACAGGTTTGGCCTTGACTGTTTGGAGGTCTTCCTGCTTCATCCTCCCAAGTGACAGGATTTTAGACGCAAGCCACGGTGCCTAGCTAGATACATTATTTTAGTAACTGGATTCATCTTTTCTCCCCTACATATTTTAAGTCCTTTTGAGTGTCTTCCTAGAACTCTACAAAGCTGTGGGCTTTTTAAAAAGGTGGAATTTGGGACTTGTGATCTAACTTAGCTCTTCATACACACTAGGCTGGAGTTCCACCGCTGCCTACATCGCAAGGCTCAAAACGTCTTTTTTAAATTGCTATGTAATGCTCCTTTCAATGGAAATGCTGTATTTAATTCTTCTTTGTTCTCACACTTCAAATGCCACTCTGGAGCAGTCCTTGCTTATGAATGTGACCATTTCCAATTACTTCCTTAGGAGAGATTTCTAGAAGGGGATTTTTGGGCCAAGAGATATAAATATGAAGTTCTGGGTCTATTTTGTCTAACTGAATTTCAGAAAGATAGGGGCTGGGATTTCATCTGAATGCCACCTATTCTGCCCATGGAGAGTAAGTAGTTTTTGGTCTTGGTCTGTCATTGTTACTCTCAACACTCAGTATACGCGCAAAGAGATTTGAAGCCCTAAAAACAGCCTCCTGGGCTGCGACTTAGCTCGGGGCATTGTCCCTGGAGGAGAGGGACACGGCTATCTGCGGCAGAGCAGGCAGCTCTTTCAGAACCCAGAATACACTTCAGCCTCTCCCAGCCATCTCCAGCTTCAGGTGGTCCACAGTCCACAAAACAGTGGGAAATTCTAAAAATAAGTCATAGTTTGCGGAAGTTGTTTGTTTGAGACAGGGTTTCACACTGTACCCCAGGATGGTCTGGAACTCATTTTGTAATCCAGACTGGCCTTAAACTCACAAGAGTCCTACCTCAGCTTTCCCAGAACTAAAATTACTGACATGAGCTACCACATCCCATACTGTAAGTATTAAATAATTTTTGTTACAGTATATTGATAAATTATTCTATTAGTTTTTGTTAGCTTCCTGCGGTGCCTAACTTTTGAGTTAACTTGGTTGTAGGTGAGCATGTATATGAAGTAAGCCTACTCTGAATCGGGCTCAGTTCTCTGTAGTTTCAGGCATCCTATGTGGGCCTTGGGACAATACCAGCAAACAAGGAGACATAAGCTTTTGCACACGAAGGGAAGCTCCTTAGTCATCCCAAGTGGGCACATGTGTGGACCTTATCTAGGGGGTGCATTTGCCCCAGGCAGGCAGCCTTAGGCACAAGTCACCAGCGTGGCTGAGTGAGGGATGAAGGGGCACGCAGGGTCTCAAGCTCTGCCCAGTGCCTCGTATTGGGACAGTGCCTATAGCACTGTTTGCCTTAGGACCACAGCTGTGGCCCTCTGAGCTAAGACCACAGGCTGGATAGCAAGTGCCTGCAGAGGAAGCCATACGTCCAGATCCAGGCTGGTCTGACACATTTGCCACATTCCAGGTTGGAGGAAAGATGGATGAGAACCGCTTCGTAGCTGTCACCAGTTCCAACGCAGCCAAGATTCTCAACCTGTATCCTCGCAAGGGCCGCATCATCCCTGGAGCCGATGCCGACGTGGTGGTGTGGGACCCAGAAGCCACAAAGTAAAGCTTGCCGCTAGTCTCCTGGGCCTGGGGGGACTTTATTCCAGAACGGCAAAGGCGAATGACCTTTGCAGCGTTTCCAGGGTAGAGGAATGTGACGGTGGCGTGCCTCCCATGTGACTGTCCGCCTCCCTTGCTCATGTATACCCATGTCCAGTGTCTCTGTACCTGCTTCTAAGGGACCAGACAGATGGGAAAAATACACACTAGTTTTTGTTGTTTTTGAGACAGGATTTTTCTGTGTAGCTTTGGAGCCTGCCCTGAAACTCATTCTGTAGACCAGACAGGCCTCAAGCTCACAGAGATCCACCTGTCTCTGCCTCCTAAATCCTGGGATTAGAGCCGTGTGCCACCACTGACCAGCCTACACTTCTTATGTACAAAAGCCTTAATTTTTTTTTGCATTAATTCTCTAAAGGCTCTGTGTCTCCATTCTGAGATGCTAGGGATAAAGATTTCAACACAAGAATTGTGAGGGGAGGGCTGGAGAGATGGCTCAGAGGTTAAGAGCACTGACTGCTCTTCCAGAGGTCCTGAGTTCAATTCCCAGTGACCGCATGGTGGCTCACAACCATCTGTAATGGGATCTGGCGCCCTCTTCTGGCCTGCAGGCACACATGCAGACAGAATATTGTCTACATAATAAAGAAAGAATTGTGAGGGGATGGAATTAAGCCCCATCAGACAGCTCTGGGTACCATGCCTTCCTACCGGGCAGCATCTCGTTGCATCAAGCTGTACTCTCTTTACTGGTACTCAGATCTTGTTCCCCCCTCATCTCCCACCAGGACCATCTCAGCCAGCACCCAGGTGCAGGGTGGAGACTTCAATTTGTATGAGAACATGCGCTGCCATGGCGTGCCGCTGGTCACCATCAGCCGCGGACGCGTCGTGTATGAGAATGGCGTCTTCATGTGCGCAGAGGGTACTGGCAAGTTCTGTCCCCTGCGGTCTTTCCCAGACATTGTCTATAAGAAGCTGGTGCAGAGAGAGAAGGTAAGATGGGGTGGGACGAGGTCAAGGCCCCTGTGGGGGAACATGTTCACTTTTCTCCATTAACTCTCAGATACTGTCGTGTTCTATGTTACTTCTGCACCAGTGTGACCCGAATGCCTTAAGAGAGGAAAGGGTTAACTGAGCTCATAATTTCAGAAGCTTTAATGTGACCTGGTAAATTCATGATAATGGGAGTGTGTGAAACAGTGGTTCTCAACCTGTGGGCCGTGACCCCCGCAGGGGCCACGTATCAGATACTGACATTACAATTCATAACAGTAGAAAAACTACAGTTATGAAGTAGCAATTAAATAATTTTATAGTTGGGAGTCACACCACAACATAAGGAACTGTATTAAAGGATCACAGCAATTGGCTTTTGGGAACCTGCTCCCCATGCTGAATTACCTTGCCCAGCCTTGACACAGGGGAGGAGCTCAGTCCTGCCTCCCCTTGAGTGTCTGAGAGGAGGCCTGCCCCTTTCTGAAGTGGAGATGGAGGAGGAGGGAAGGGAGAGGGGAATAGGTGGAAAAGGGGATGGGAGACTGCAGTCAGTATGTTAAATAAATGAAAATGTTATTTAAATAAAATATTAAAAAATGTAAAAAGGGGTCGCAGCATTAGGCAGGCTGGGAACCACTGGTGCAGTGGCTGATGGTTCGTGGGCAGCAGGCAGGGAAGAAGCCGGAAGTCAGAACCAGAGGCCGGCTGGTAGCCTTCAGAGTGACCCCAATGACCTGCTTCTGCCAGCCAAGTCCCATCTCCTAGAGAATTCCATTCAGACAAGCTGTAACACAGCGTTTCCTCTGGATGCTGTCTGTCACCATCTGTGCAGGACCCTATGTGACAGAGGCAAAAGGGATAGTGGAGTTGGAAAATTCTGGTTTCCACATCCCATTTTGCATAGATCTATTGTTTTATTATTATTATTAATGTGTTTGTTTGTACGTGTATGTATGTATACACATGTGAGGAAGGGTGCCCATGGAGGCCAGAGGGTTCGGATGCCCTTGGAGCTAGAGTTACTGGTGATTATAAGAACTGAACTCAGGGCCTCTGCAGGAGCAGCACACACTTTAAACCTCTGAGCCACCTCTGCAGTCTCAGCAGACAAAATGTAAACGGGCAAGCAGAGAGGGAGGGAGGCTGGTGGGTGTGTCTGTGGCCAGTGAGCTCCTCCCATATACAGGCTGATTGCTCTGTTCCTGGCCCCTCTCGCTAACGCCAAGGACGCCTTCAGAAATCCCCGTGCCTGTTGTTTCTCTCAATTAGACTGGGCAGGCAGCATGTAAAAGCGCAATTGAGGCTCCCTCCCAAAGGAGTGCTCACATCTCTGCCGCTATTGCTGCTGCTCCCTTGGCCACCTGCACGTCCTCCAACACACTTCCTCCCAGTCACCATGGTACTTCTAATATAGTGAGTCACCATCACGGACCTAGGCCAGGACAGCTCTAAGTGACAGAGCTGAGGCCGGAGCCTTGGTGGCCTGATTTGTGCAGTACAGCTCCTAACCCTTTATTTAGTATTGCTTCCGGCAGTGTCCCACAGCTACACCAACTCTATCTAGCCCAAGTTTTCTCTGGGTTGTCAGACCACACTGAAAGGTCTGCCTGTTGGGAGCCTGATCTTGTCAGGACACTGTCAGGATGTTCACTGTGGAGGAATTCCTCAGCTGTCTCTCTGGCAAACTCCCCTAGAAGGATCCCACCCAAGCAGAGGGCAGAGACTGAGGCACTTTCTGCACACGCACATGTATGTGTGCATGCATACACTCATCCTACATAGAAGCTAGGAAAGCATTACGTCAGCACTTGGAACTACAGAAACTAGAAACCTGTTGCCTATGCATCTTGGGTCCTGTGGGTCCTAGCGGGTGTCGGTGGAGGAGGTTGCAGCTGTGTGCTTGGCCTTGACATTCCTGTCTTTTCTCTTCACCAGACCTTAAAAGTGAGGGCAGTGGACCGCACTCCCTACCTAGGGGACGTCGCTGTTGTTGTCCACCCTGGGAAAAAAGAGATGGGAACGCCACTGGCGGACACTCCCACACGGCCAGTCACCAGGCATGGGGGCATGCGGGACCTTCATGAATCCAGCTTCAGCCTTTCCGGTAAGGACGAGGATGTGGAAGGTGCTGGCAGGTGCAGGCAGGCAGGAGAGAGGCCTGGGCAGTAAACTGCAGCCTGTAGGTCCTTTGTAGAGCCATGAGGACAGGGGCTGTCCCCAGGTGCTCAGCTTTGTGCTCTTAGAAGAGCAGCTTATGCCAGGAACCTGTGGTTCCCACAGGAGGTGCTAGTGGCCTGTGGGGAGGTGACCTCCAAAAACACTCTCAAAGGGCTACTCACTGCCACAGTGGGACATGAATGCTAGGTGCTGTTTCTTGTGCACTGTCTGAACACACTGTGTGGGATGTGTGTGGGATGTGTGGCTTCTCAGGGTCTCCCAAGCACACCACAGCCTACAACAACTGACCCCACATGAAGTGGTAAGACCCTGAGCCTCTGGGGCCTCACTAGTCGGTTGCCTCTTCTGCCCCAGTCCAAGAGCCATGACTGGACAGTGGCTCCTTCAGACAAAGTAGACATCAAGTTGCCTGTCATCTCTCTTCCAGCCCCAAGTCTTAATCTGTTGGAGGTGGGGATCACTGAATAATGCCCCACTGTGATCTCTGGGGCCCTAGACCCATCTTTCTGAGTCTTAGGATTCCAGAGGCAGGGCCTTTGGAGTATGGGTCATTCATTTTCCAAAAGAGTTACCAGTTTCCTGTTTCAGTGTCTGGTCTATTCATTGAGTGTAACTGGAGGTTTCTCTCCTGTCCGCCGGTTCCCGGATAACCACTCAGAGGCTTTGTATTAATTACAAACTGTTTGACCTATTAGCTCAAGCTTATTATTAACTAGATCTTACGACTTAAATGAGCCCATTTCTATTATTCTACATTTTACCACGAGGCTTGTGACTTCTTAACCTCACATCTTGCTTCTCCAGCGGCTGATAGCGTCTCCCTGACTCCGCCCTTCTCCCTGTATCTGTTTGGACCCCCCTCCCCCCCCCAGCTTGGCTCTGTTCTGCCTAGCTATTGGCCAAATCAGCGTCTTTATTAACCAGTGGAAATATAACCTATTCACAACATATAGAGGGGAATCCCACATCAACCGAGACCTGTGTGTGAAGGTCTGTGTGACCGCTGGCTGATCCGTTGGTCTAACAGCACAAATATTGCTGTCCACGTGAGTGAGTGGAGAAGCTCCTAAAGTAGCTGGGAGTCAGGAAAACCTGGGTTCACACCCCTGCTGCTGTAAAATGTGATACCCTGAGCCCTAGGTTTCTCATCCAGATAATGGAATAGAGTCATGAGGGTTAAATGACTGAATACCTGGGACTTGAGGAGTGGCTCCGTCAGTAAAGCATTTGCCTTGCAAGCGCGAGGACCTGAGTTCAATTCCAAGAAACCATGTTGAAAAGGCAGGCACGGGGCTGGAGAGATAGCTCAGCAGTAAGGAGCAGGTACTGCTCATCCAGCGGACCTGTGTTGAGTTCCTAGTTTCCCAGCACTCAACTACCAGCAAATTCCAGCTCCAGGAAAATCCAACACCTCCTCAGGCACATGCACATACAAATACACAGTCCCTGACCTGCCCTAAAAGAGGTGGACAGCATTCCTTTGAGGGGCGGGAGAGGTCTGAGCCTCAGCGGTGACAGGGAGCCTGCTAACCCAGAGAGCTTCTGCCTAGTTGACTTTTCCGACTTATTTCCCCGCAGGTTCTCAGATCGATGATCACGTTCCAAAGCGGGCCTCAGCTCGGATCCTTGCGCCCCCTGGAGGCAGGTCGAGCGGTATTTGGTAAAGGCTCTGACCAGCCCCCCCAAGTGAGGATGCTCCACCGCCACCCGCCTGCACACCTTCTGGCCACAGCTGCAGGGGGTGGGAGAGGCTGGGCAGGGCAGCGCTCTGCTGGTGGGGGCTCCAGGAAGCAGAGAGCCCTCCCCTTGTCTGAACGTGTTTCACGGGGCTTTGACCCACCCCTAACAAGGCACTTTGAGCTGTCCCTCCTGCTCTGCTCCCTCCTTCCTTCCTCGGCCCTGGGGTTTCTCTGGGCCCCAGCGGCCACACTATGCACAGCACCCAACTGCATAGCGCCTGGCCCCGCCCCTCCTCTCACGACAACCACCAGTGCAGGCTCTGGGAAGGCCCGGACTGGAGTGCCCTGCCCTGCTGCCCACCCAGACAGGCGTCCAGAGCACTTTAGCAGATGTGTGTTATAAGTAAGGGCCTTCCCCCCTCATCCCTTAGGTACTATGGTGACATTTCCCAAGTCAGACAGGTGTTAGCTTCCCAGCCATGCCCGAGATGTCCCATCTTTACTGACTCACCCCTGTGTAGGTACAGTCAGGACACCCTGGTTGTGGCTGTGGTTGGGACACCCTGTGCCCTTTGCCGGCCTCTTTCCACTCCTTACCCACACCCTCTGGGAGCCCCAGGCCCCAGATGGGTAGCTGGGTGGGCATGGGGCTGGTGCCAGGCGCGTGTAAATGGTTTTGTTTTGCACGTTTGGTTTGCGCAGTGGTTTGGTTTGACTTGTTTGTGCACCCTGTGGACAATAACGGTGCTTCGTGTCACTAGCGTAGCATAGAATCGGGAGTAGATTTGGTTCTTAGGAGATGCTGCAGTCACCACCAACCAGATAGTCCAGGGCAGCGGTGGGGACAGGCTGTCCCCCAGCCCCTTTCCCCCAACCCAGGGTCCTGCTACAAGAAGCAGCCCTGGACCATGCCTCCCCTGTCCCACACCCCTACCTCTTACCACCCCCATCTTACTTTTTCTACATTCAAATGTCCTGGATGCTGACCCTGGAAACCTTCAAGCAACAAGGCGGCCCCTCTCTCATCGATTCTCCTGGTCACTCCCAGCACTAACCCCCATGTCCATACCCTCACACCCCTACACATCTTCCTATATGTTGCCCCTGCTGGACAAGGCCTCACTACTCCTCCTGTGTGACTAGCAAGAGGCCTCATGCCTGCTGAGAGAGGGAGGGTAGGAGAGGGTTGGCCAGCCAGCCACCAGGCGGGGGGCTTCAACATGCAAGCCCTAGCCGGAGAATCGGCTCCACTGCCCAAGTGCTATGGGGTCCTGCACTCAACACCACGCTCTTGTTGGCTGCTGGTTAGGCCCGCCCTGCCTCAGAAGCTCTTTGGGGGTTCTCATAGGTGGCTACCCAATCTGAGAAGTGACCCTGCTGTCTGCCATTGATAGGCCTCATCATCCCTCCCTCCCCCTCCTTGGGAAACGATCTCACTTTGGCTTGAGCTCCCCAAACCTGCCAGAGGCCTCAGAGATCTTGGTACTCATCCCTGCAGTTTGTACTGCTTTGGGTCCACCAAAGCACTTCCACGCATCCGCTCTCGCTCCTCCTTATGGTGGGATGCTTACCACTCTCCCCATCTTACAGATTTAAAAAAAAAATAACCTGAGGCCCCAAAAGTTAAGGCTGGCTGGCTCCAGAAGTGTCCATGACTGACCTTATGGCCTTGGCTGGTCTAACCTAGTTGTGGAAAGCGGCTGTGGACTGATACCCCCACCCCCACCAGGAGTTCCACCAGATAGAATGAATGCTTTCTCCCTGGGGAGAAAAATGCATTCTGCCTTGCTTTGCACACATCGATCTTCATTATCATTATTGTGAGCAGACTACTGTATACTCTCGGTTTGAGCCTGGACTAGAAAAGTGTTGGGAACTTGTGTGTGGTTTTAGTTTCATCCTCATCTTCATTGTCCTCATTTTGGAGCTGAAATGATAACCCGGAGAGCTGAGGAAGCCATGGGAACAGTAGGCAATGACGCTGGAAAAGCCTCATGGGTAGCAAAAGCAGTGATACTGATCCCTGGTACAGTCCTAGCCTCTCTCCCCTCCTTTTTCTCCTTCTCTTCCTTCCTCTGCCTCCTGCTCCTCCTCCTCTTCTTTTTGAGACAAAGTCTTGCCTATGTAGCCTGGCCTTGAACTCAGAGCATCCTGCCTCAGTTTCCCAAGCACTGGAATTCCAGGCACAAGCTACCACACCTAGCTATATGTCATCTTTGTCTATTTTTGCCCTTGCTTGGTCATGGGCCTTGGGCAGATGCCAAAGATTGAGGGATGGTAGGACCAGCGAGGCAGGGCACCTTGCTTGGGCCAGGAAAGCTTTACCTGAGTGCCTCCACCTGAGAAGTGCATGACCTGGCGTGGTGAGAGAGTACGTGTTCAAGGGGCCGCTGTAGGCCTTCCACTTCATCCACCCCCACCCTTGAGTACACCCAAATCCACCCTTCCATAGACTGTGCTCACCCAGGAGCTTCTGGGTGTGAATCAGGAGGCTCGAGGAGCCAAACAAACCATCACACACCCCCACCCCCGTGTCCACTCCCTGCCCCCATCAGAGCTCCAGCCAGCCCCATCCCAGGCCCAGTGGCTGCTGGCTGGAACGGAAAGGGTCTCTGGTTGCACCGAATGCAGCTCTCAAACTGGTCTTGTACTTGCTGAATAAATACTGTTGTTCTTGCCTTAGCTGCTCTCTAGGTTTGTGGGGTTAACGCACCCAAAAATTGTGCTACTGTGTGTGTGTGCGTGTGCGTGTGTGTAGTGCTAGGAGCCCACAGTAGGCCTCTTGTCAAGCCAATGCCGTGATAAGGGCATCTCTTATACTGACCCAGAAACCACAGAACCACATGGAAGCCAAACCCCCTCCAGCTGCTGAGGCAGCAAGCACACAGCCTGGGGTCAGAATGGAGCTGTCGGTAGCACCCCAGCACCCAAGGGACTTCCTCACTCCTCTGTAATGTCATGGTGCTAAGATCGTGTCAATCCCACGATGACACATAGTCCTATGCTTTGGCCACCGTTTGAGGCAAAAACCAAACAGCCCAACACGTTGTGTTCTGGTGCAGGTTTGTATTAAACTGTAGCTACTTCTCACTCGGCCTCTGTTGTGTTTATTCAAGAAGTGGCCTGGCAGAAAGCCACCTCTACAGCAGTTATGTGGTGCTTCCGTTGCTAGGAGAACAGCTTTGCTCCATCACTCTGATCCAGTGGCAGCTCACTGGGAGGTCCGGGCAAGGTCTGGAAATGTAAAAATAAAAAGTTTAAAAATAAACATTTGTTTTTAAGGGTCATCCCTCTCCCAAGAGCCCAGGATTTCTGATGGTGCAAAAGCAAACATTCGACCAGATTTCCTGGGACGGTTGGCACATTATCTGAACTAAGAAAAAAAAATTTAAGGAGATATTAGAAACAGAAAGAAGGGATCTAGACGCCCCCACCCAACCGATGACACTTGTTCTCTTAGCTACCATTTGGAAGCCTACAACCCCATTCCGTTCAGCAGGAGCAGACGGACTGTATTCCCATAAAGACATGACAAAGTCATCCCAAGGCCCCAATGTGTGTTTGAAGGGCCTTTGCCTGCTTACTAGCTTTCTAGATCCTCCCCACCTTTGAGTCTGGCTACTGGGCCCTCCAAACCCCTTGGGTGTTGGGAGGACTCCTCTGATTAAACTCACACTGAAATGAGTGATGTACAGGCTATCGTTGCAGTACTTGGACTGTTGAGGCAGGTGGATCATGAGTGTGAGGCCAGCCTGGGTCACACATAAGCAGATCCAGTCTCAAAGAGTGGGTGTACCATTCATTTTAGTACTGTGGGACACCTTGTGCCAATTTCTTAACCCCCAAAGATGCAACTCTAATGAGGAAATTCTAGATGGTGGAGAAAATCTGAATAGCACACGGGGGCGCATAGTCGGTTACCTAACTGCCCCCAAACTATAGTAAGTATGTGGGGCTGGGAAGACGCAGCCTTTGGTCCCAGCACTTTGGGGCAAAGGCAGGCAGAGCCACAGAGTGACACCGGTCTCAGGAAAGAAAAGGCACTGTCCCGTGTCATCGACTGTTCGCAAGGCACGAGGCGTGTGCAGATACAGACTTGGGAAGACCCCGTACACCTTAATACGTGTACAGTTGGAAAAGGACCACAGGTTTGGACTTGAAAATTGGGCTCAGCCCAATTGTTTTCAGTGGCAACAATTTGGAATGACTCCATTCAGTCAGCAGGTGTGCAGCCATCAGCCGAGATTTCTTAACTTGGGGTTATAGGTTGACTCATGCAGGCACAAGTGACATTAGGAACTGTGGAAGAGGCTCAAGGAAACCCTGGGTCTGAAGAACAAACAGTATGATACCGGTACTAAATGATTTTTAAAAAAAAAAAAAAAAGACTTTTATTTTATTTTACTTTTTGAGACAGAATTTCACTATGTAGCCCAAACAGATCTGGAACCATGTAGACCAGACTGGCCTTGAACCCAGGGGAATCAAAGACACACACCACTACACCTGGCCATAAGAAGCTTTCCCACAACACTGCCAACGAACTTAATACATTGCTAAAAGTTTGTTTTAAAATCACCTTGCTCTTCTCTGAGTCCACCTTTAGAGTGTCGTCCGCATCCTGTCTGAGCATTGTTTCCTGGCTACTCACACAGATGCATTGGACATTTTCCTTGAAATGCAAGATGTTCATTTTTTTTTTAATTTGAGGAAAGTGATCCTTTTGAGACGAGAATTTTTGTGCATCTTTCTCATTGGACAGAATGACAACTGGTTATAGCAATTAAAGCCTTCCAAGTCCCTCTGAGAAGACACTCTCTGCAAATCCAAGGTCACCGAACTGAAAACTGTCACAGGCCACTCTGCGTGCTTTGGTGACACCATCTAGCCAGTGCCTCTCGTGTTGCTGGAATTCGTCACTGTAAACTGGCCTGAGTTTGGCGGATGGATGACCCTGGAGTTCCTCCTTTCTGGTCGGCCCCCAG